ACAACTGTATTATTATAAAAAATTGCTGTTCCGTTTCTACATTTAATTATATTACATTTTAATGCAGAGCTGTAAAGGCTGTAAAAGCTGAAAAAAGCGCTTCAGGGGAATATAGCCCGCCCGTTCAATTATTTGAACAAACGACAAAAGACTCAGGCGATGATGTGGATGCCGTAGAACTTCAAAATCTAGAGTGGTCCGCTACACCTGAAGAACCATTCGACCTAGACGAAATTGAAAAGTAATTACTCGTTTTGCTTATATCATTCAATGTAATAATGGCATTTTACTAGAAAAATTTACAATTATTATTATTTAGAAAAATTGCTTTTCCGTTTCTACATTTTATCATATTTTGATGCAGATTTATTGAAGGCATTTTATACGTTTCCGAAGAACATAGCCCGCCCGTTCCATCACCTGAACAAACGACAAAAAACCCAGACGCAGTTGATACGTAATTACTTGATTTTTACTTATAATAACTTATAACGTAAAATATAATAACATCTTACTATTTAAATATTTTGTCTTTTCTGCACAAGAATAATTAACAGTGTTAATCTCTTAAATAATTCCATTTTTAATAACATCACATTTCAATGCAGTTCTAAAACTTCAAGTTCAAAGGATTATGATGTGGATATCTTTGTAGAACTTCAAACTTCAGAGCGGTCTGTTACAAATGAACAACAATTAGAAAACTTGGACAAAATTGATAGGTAATTACTCGTTTTGGTTATATCATTTAATGTAATGGCATTTTACTAGAAAAATTTACAATTTTTATTATTTTATAAAATTGCTTTACCATTTCTACATTTAATCATATTACATTTTAATGCAGAATAATACAAAGAATTTCAAGCGTTATCAAAGAAAATAGCCCGTCCGTTCCATCACCTCAACCAGGTTTTTCAACTGCAGAGGAATATGATATGAATCCCTCTGAACGTGAGAACGATGATAGAACTAGAAGTGAAGAACAACCTGACTCGCAAGTTCTATCATCTGAACAAACGACAAGAAACCCAGGCGCAGTTGATACGTAATTACTTGTTTTTTACTTATAGTGACATAACGTAGAATATAATAACATCTTACTATTTAAATATTTTGACCTTTCTGCACAAGAATAATTTACAATGTTAATATC